ATAACGATACCCAGTAAGGGCCAAGCCTAACCTCGGTATAGTAGTAACGAGGTCAGGTCAAGGGGGTACTAGGGGCAAAAAATTTAACAATACAATAATGATGACAATGGAAATGAATCATGTAAGAAGCATGCCTAAATTTGACTACACAGAATCAAGTCAGATAATACAACACGGAAGAAAATAAGGAATGATATGTTAAGGAAACAAAACAACCAAGGACAAGTGCAGGCAAGAGAAATATTAACAAGAGTCACTACCGAGGTACCGCCTTGTAGTCTCAAATCACAAGAAAAAATCACAACATCTCCTTATATCACCGCGGTAGCCTTGCATTTAGTTTTGAAAATTATTTTTCTCGAAATAGCATCCCGCGTTTTAGCCCACCTTATCATACCGCAAGGCTTCTAGTAGTTCCCTTACTATTCACACGTATCAAGCCTACCTTATCTCCTATTTCAACCCCAAAACCTTATACCACCGCATGCTGTAATGACCCGACCAGTCGTTTTGAGAATATTAGCCCTGATCCACTATTTACTGCTTTCCCCGTATCATTTTATGCTTATGTTACTTGTCCGAAGGTTTTGTTTTTAGTTTCAGAGTGAATTGGGACACTTAGTCCCTAAAATGGATGTTTAAGTTCTAGGAATTTGATCGTAGATGGAACTGTGTGAATACGGCTCTGAAAGGGAGTTTCATCGATTTTGTTAGCTCCGCTGGGTGATTTTGGACTTGGGATTGTATCCAGATTGTGATTTGGAGGTCCGCTGCTGAATTAGGCTTCAAATGGCGAAAGTTGAATTTTTGAAAAGTTTGACCGATAGTGGTCTTTTTGCTATCGGGGTTGGATTCCAATTTCGGAAGTTGGAGTAGGTCCGCAATGTCAAATATGACCTGTGTGCAAAATTTAGGGTCAATCAGACGTGATTTGCTAGGTTTCAGCATTGGTTGTAGAAGTTTGAAGTGCCAAAATTCATTAAGCTTGAATTGGGGTGACATTCGTATTTCTGTTGTTGTTTGATGTGATTTGAGAGCTCGACTAAGTTTGTATGGTGTTTTGGGACTTGTAGGTATGTTTAGTTGAGGTCCCGTGGGCCTTGGGGTTATTTCGGGTGGTTAATGGATCATTTGGAGTTGTGTTAAAATGGTGAAGCGTTGCTGCACCTGCGCACTTTGGGCCGTAGGTGCGGCACCGCAGAAGTGGCCTTTGAGCTGCAGGAGCGAGTCTGGGCCTTCCCAACTGGGACTGCAGGTGCGGTCAGAGTCCCGCAGAAGTGGACTCGCAGGGGTAGAGGATGGAGCGCAAAAGTGGGCCAGTAGGTGCGGCCCTTGCCCGCAGAAGCGAACTTTGAGGACTAAGTGAAGTCTGCACCTGCGATGGTTTTTCCGCAGCTGCAGAACCACCAATGCGGTGAACCCCTCGTAGAAGCGAGATCACTGGGCAGAAAAGGGGAAATTACGAGGGTTTGATCTCATTTTCACTTTGGGATGTTTTGAGCTCGGATTGAGGCGATAATTTGGGAGATTATCAGAGGAAGCTATTGGATGATGATTCTTAACTGTTTTTAGTTATATACCACTGATCTATAGTTAATTTCATCATTTAATTAATGATTTGGGTTGAGAAATTTTGGGGAAAAGTTGGAAAGTTCTGCAACCAAATTTTTTGGTTTTGATTGAGATTTTGGTATCAGATTTGTGTAATTTTGGTATGAGTGAACTCATGGTTGAATGGATGTTCATATTTTGTGACTTTTACCTGATTCCGAGACGTGGGCCTGGGTAGAATTTTTGGGGCGAATTTTGTAATTTCTTGCTAAAGTCTTGATTTCATTAATTAGACGAGTTTCTTATAGTTATATTTATGACAGGTAATTGCTTTTGGCTAGATTTGGGCCATTCGGAGTCAAAAAGTCATGGAAAAGGCATTCTTACTGATTGATTGAGCTTGGTTCAAGGTAAGTGGCTTGCCTAACCTCTTGTGGGGGAAATCCCCTTAGGATTTGGTACTGTTGTGATACTTTTGTGATATGTGAGCGCCATATACGTGAGGTGACGAGTGCGTACACGGGCTAATTGTTGTAAATTTTGGTTTTTACTGAGTAGTAACCCGTTACATTTTACTTTAGTTATACTAGCATGTGTAGTTCTCCTGTTTAGCTTAATATCGCATGTCCACTTGTCTTAAATGCTTATCTGAAATCTGTGCAGCATGCTTAGTTGAATTCCTATTTTTCCTTGATTGTATCACTCTTAAACTATAGAGTTGTTGCTGTTAATTGTTGTTTCCATCGGTTTCGAGCTGTGTGTTTACATTTGGAAATATGAGGCAGTACCTCGGGAGATCCCCCTGCACATTTTATGTTTGGGACTACGATGCTGTACCTCGGGATATCTCCCTGCACATTTACTTTTGGGACTATGAGGGGGTACCTCGGGAGATCCCCTCACATATTTACTTTTGGGACTATGAGATAGTATCTCGGGAGATCCCCTGTTGAGCATTTACTTTTTGGACTAAGAGATGGTATCTCGGGAGCGCCCCTGTTGTTTATCCCTATGTGCTGTGCTGATATCTTTCTGTAGTCTCTCCTTGTTAAATTTCCAATCTCTTACTACATTGCTATATTTTCTGCCTTAAATTATTATATAACAGTAGGGCCCTGACCTGACCTTGTCACTACTCTATCGAGATTAGGCTTTGCACTTACTGGGTACCATTGTGATGTACTCATGCTACTCTTTTGCACATGTTTTATGCGCAGATCTAGGTACCTCCTACCAGTCCCGCTATTGGTTGCGTACCTGCTGCTGCTCCGGAGACTTCAAGGTATATCTGCCAGCGTTCGCAGACCTTGGAGTTGTTAGCTTCAAGGTTTCACGTATTAATTTTGATGATAACAAACCAACATAATTATTAATCAAAGAGCATTTACTTGTGGTAATCTTATTTTTGCACAAGTTTATTCAAGAAAGAAGATGCTGGTAAAGATCCTAATAAATATGGGAAAGAGAATATCATATGATGAATTTATCAAGGAAGATTATGTTCAGAGATTCAATCTCCAAGCGTCATGGAAGGAATAATATTTGAAAGTCATATTTCAAATATTAAATGGTTTACTACAATATCAGAAGAAGACTCTACGGAAATTATGGAAAGAAAGTTCTTAAATATCTTGAAAGAAAGGTTGCTAAAATCCTGGAGAAGATCTATTATTTTGTGCAAGATACTATATGGAAAAGATACTACAAGGCCAAGGAAGAATATATTCTCTATGGAAAGAAAATATATTATGAATATAGTACAATCTATATTATGGAAAGAGATTATTTTCCAAGATCAAGAAAGGAATATTTCCAAAGTAAGAAGAATATATTTTCTATGGAAAGAAAATATATTATGGATATAGTACAATCTATATGATGGAAAGATATTATTTCCCAAGATCAAGAAAGGAAATTATTTTCATAGTTGCGGAGATAATAAATGGTTATTGGGATCTTCATATTGAAGACAATACTCAAGATCCAAAGTCAAAGGAAGATGATCTTGAAATTCTCTTGGGTTATTTGAATAAGAGCTCATACTTGTACTTATGGAAGAAGAGTTCAAGTGGATGAATAATTATTCCGACAGAATTATATCACATAGAAGGAAAGGGATATACTTGCTACGAGTGTGGAAAGATAGTGCTAGATATGCTACAATACTAAGGAAAGGAATATGTTGAATGAATTACTACAAGCAATATCTTAGAAGGAGTAAATCAAGGGATCATACTTAAGAATGTGCAAGCAGAGAATCACCAAGCTCTTTCAAAGAAGAAAAATTCAACATATATATATACTGGTGCATGGTTGACAACATTTCAAATGGAAAGCTCTCATTATGTGAATATACAATAATATTGTCTACTTCACAAGGAAAGAAATCAAAGGAGCTTGAGGCATGGAATCTAGAATATCAGCAAATTGGAAAATATATTTGAGTACATTAGTAAGGCACATCATCAATCAATAGGTACAAGATATAAGGAATGAATTCCAATGAATCAGTGATTGGTGGAAGGATTTCAAATTAGTTTGAAGGTGCAAATGGAATTGAGCAAAGGACTTAATAGGAAGTCGCTGGTATCTACTCAATCAAAGGAGCAAATCTTCTGATTGAATATTATCGAAATCAAGGGATCAGCAAAATCAATCCCAACGGTCAAAATCAATCGAAGACTATAAAAACGAGAGACTGGGAAAGAAGCAGATACGCAACCTTCTATACAATTGTCTACCCAACTACAAGTTCTTTGTTCTACTCTTAACAAGCATTGTAATTCACTTTTAGATTTACTATGTACACAAAAGAGAGAAGAGAGAGAGAAAAATATTTGAGAGGTAGTGTGTCATTGTTCGTTTCTTAGACGAACGAGTGAAAACAAAAGGGTCGTTGTTGGTGAGCGAGTGAAAACTAACCCTTGTCCGTTGTTGGTGAGCGAGTGAAAACCAATCCTGTAAACGTTTGTGGTGATCATTGAAAATCACACAAGTTTTACTTAACCCAAATTACAAAGAGCTCAAGAGATAACATCCTTTCAACCCAAGAAGACTGGATTAGGATACCACATTGGTTCCGAACCAGTATAAAATTCCTGGTGTCATTTATTTTACTGCTCCCATATTTTATTATACACCTTTACTGTTTGTTGTGAGTAGTATTTGTTTTAATTGAAGTACTAACAGTTTTGGTGCAGGCTATCTCCGCATAAGTCAACTAGGTCTTAAGAGTAGTCGACCAGAAATTTAAAAAGGCTACAACTCACCCCCATCTTGTACTTTCAATTTGTATTAGAGAAGGTCTCACATTTTTACTTTTGCTTAACAGCAAGTGAGAAAAGATCATGTCAGCACACACTGTTATCGGATCCTTACTCCAAGAGCGGACTTTTACATTAAGACCACCATACTTCAACGGACAATATTACACTCATTGGAAAGTTTGAATGGAAGCTTTCATCAAATCTTATGATGTCAAAGTATGGCGAGTCACTAAGAAGGGTGACTTTCCTCTCCTACAGTCAAAACCAAAAAAGAAACCAGAAGGACAGGTATCTACTGAAACCCTTGATATTGATGATTATACTGATGAGCATATGGTGATCGTGCAGATAAATTCAAAAGCAAACAACCTATTATACAATGCTATAAGCGGAGAAGAATTTGAGAGAATATCAAGTTGTGACACAGCTAAAGAAATGTGGGATAAACTTGAAGTTACCTATGAAGGTACCGGTAAAGTAAAAGAGACAAGGATAAACCGTCTGATTCGTGATTATTAGTCGTTTCAAATGAAGGATGATGAATCCATTGAAGACATGTTTGGCCGATTTAGCAAAATAGTTGAAGATCTAAAATCCTTTGGAAGAGCATATTCAAGTGGTGAACAAGTCAGAAAGATTCTAAGAAGTTTACCCACTTTATGGCAACCAAAAGTTGTTGCTCTTGAATACGGAGATCTCGACAAACTATCATATGATGAACTTCGTGGAGACCTTACGGACTTTGAGCAAAACCATCTCTAAAAGCATGAATATGAAGAGAAGAAAAAGAGTGCTGCTTTTAAATCAACTATTGCTGAGTCTGAAAGTGAAGCCAAAGAAGAAGGAGACAAACATCAAGATGATATTGCATTATTTTCTAGAGTTGTCTCTAACACGACGCGAAGAAGCAAGAAAAATGGAAGAGTCAAATCAAGTTCTAGAAAAGGTAATGAAATAAGTGAGTAGAAAAACAACGATAGAAAATCCTATAAATGCGGAAATTATGGTCACATCCAAGCCAATTGTCCAGAACTAAAAAGGAAACTATCCAAGGGAAATCGGAAGAGAAAATCTTCCAGCATATAGAGTGATGAATATATGCCAGATAAAAATCATAGTGGATCTGCCAACCTTTGTTTCATGGCACGAAGTGAGACAAGTGAGAAAAGAAAAATCTTTTGGTGCCTGGAGTGATGAAGATATATCAGACAACGATCATGAGAAATCTACAAGCAACTGCTTTATGTCCCCAATTTAAACAAGTGAGGTAAGATCTCATGACTATGATAAATGTAATGGACTTTAAAATATTGTAGAACAGGATTTAGAAGATATGAGAAAAATCTTTGATGAACTCAAGAAGACTAAATGGGAGAAGAAAAACTTGGAGACCCAACTTTAAGAATATAACAAGTTGTAAAAGGAAAAGGAAGAGTGGGATATTCTACTCGAAGAATATCAGGTTGAAAATGACTTACTTCAAGAAGAAAATGCGGAACTTCAAAAATAAATGAATAGTTTGCACAAACTTCCCGTCACTATTTTTATCGACCGAACAAGCAGGCCCATTTTCTTATTAATTCCAAGTTGACTGACAAGGGATCTACTAGTAGACGCCCTACTTCAAACAAGTCGACTTAGGAAAGCTTCAAGGCGACAAAGGCACCTGCTGGTAAATACTCTACTTCTTTTGTTACATGTCACTACGGTGGTAATTTTGGACATAAGGCTATCACGACCCAAAATACACTAGTCATGATGGCACCTAACCCAACCCGCAAGGTAAGCCAACTATAAATCCAATTCCCATAATATTAAAAAGGCAGTTTAAACAAGAGAATTATCTAAATCTTATACACTTTTCCAAGGTCTGGTAGTACAAATCATGAGCTTTTAAGAATAGAATTTACAAAGCTGATATGAAGTAAATAGATCTTTTGTTTGAAAACTACATAAGCAGAGTTTTATAAATCTACGACTACCATAAACAAGAGGCAGCTACAACTGAAACGCAAGTACATCTTCAAATCCAGCAACCATCAAACACAGCAACAACAACAGACAATATCTGCACGCAATGTGCAGAAGTGTAGTATCAGTACAACCGACCCCATGTACTAGTAAGTAACAAACCTAACCTTAGGTTGAAAGTAGTGACGAGCTGGAACATAGGTCGGGTCCAACACCAATAACCAACGGCAGTTCATAACAACATAGAGCATATGAACGAGGAAGTAACTCAGAGATAAAATGCTTAGCTTTTTCACAGTTTTTCGAAAATAGTTTTGCTTTTCAAGAATATCAGTGAAACTCAAATCCTTTACCGAAATTGTCATAAAATATGAGATAGTTTGAAAACTATAATTTTTCTAAAAATCCTTTTCATAATAAATAAGATGTTTCATTTTCTTTCCAGATAACAAGTGTGAAATACCTCTCTATGCCACATATCAATGTGTGTAAAAGTCATGAATGACATGATACCGTACAACATGAGGAAAAATGCATCTCTATGCATGTATGTCATGTGTGTATGCCAATGCCATGTATCTCAGAGATGAATCATGTACTCACACTCTCAGAGTACTCAATCTCATTGTCTCACACTTTCCACTAATCATGCTCAACCACTCGGTACTGTATATGGCCCATTTGGCCTAGGGAAGATCCATCCCGGAATATATACATCACTGACCATCAGTCACTCAGTACCGCGGAAGGCCAATCCAGCCCCAATGGAGAAGATCTATCTCTAGGTATATAAATGCTTCGGACAAGATCCATGTCCAGGGAAGATCTATCCCTCAATATAAACAACCGAGCTCACTGGGGGTGTGTACAGTCTCCGGAGGGGCTCCTTAATCCCAATAGCTATCACAAGCCAGATCCAGGCATAAATCAATATAACATGCTGTGACGTGCAGCCCGATCCCATAACTGTCACTCATAATCAGGCTCTCGGCCTCACTCAGTCATCAATCTCTCCAGTCTCACCAATAGGCTCATAATGTCATGAAGACTAACTCGGAACAATGATATGATGTGCCAATGAGTAATAACTGAGACTGAGATATGATATAAATGCATGAATATGATTGAGTATGAAATATCAATGAAAACCAGTGGGATGACAGCAAGAAATGACCACTATGGGTCCCAACAGTATTGGCATAAAGCCTAAACATGATATCTAGCATGATTAACAACTCAATTACTTTATCACATGGTGAAAACACAAATATCAACAAAATGGGGCCACTAAATAGTGCTATGTAAACAATGGAGTCACCATTCACATGGTGCACGCTCACGCCCGTCACCTAGCATGTGCGTCACCTCATCATCAATCGTGTAGCACGTAATTTGGGGTTTCGTACCCTCAGCACTAAGTTCAGAAGAGTTACTTATCTCAAACAAGCCAATTCCAATATCGAGCAAGCCAAGCGATGGTCCAAAAATGCCATCTTGTGCGTTCCGACCTCTGAACAACTCGAAACTAACCAAAAACAGCTCAAATACATCAAAGAATGCTAAAGGAATCAATCCCAATTGAAAAAGGTCGAATCTTTAATCAAATTCCCATAATTGGCCAAAAAGCCCAACCCGGACCCGCACCTCGGAACCCGACAAAACTCACAAAATCCGACAACCCATTCAATTATGAGTCCAACCATACTAATTTCACTTAAATCCGACTCCGAATCGATGTTCAAAACTTAAAAATTCGCGTTATGAAACTTCAGGATAAAACCCCCAAATTTCACTTTGAAATCATCAATCAAATCCCAAAAACAAAGATGGATTCATGAAACATAACCAGAACCGAGTAGAGAATACTTACCACAATCCATATGGTGAAAATCGCCTCCGAAATTGACCTAAATTCGAGCTCTCCAACCCAAAATATGAGCAAATGAACAAACCCTTGTTTTATATATATATATATATATATATATATATATATATATATATATNTCGAGATTGTTTGGCACGAGAAACGAGGCAAAATAGCTGGCAGAAAATATATATATATATTTTCTGCCAGCTATTTTGCCTCGTTTCTCGTGCCAAACAATCTCGAAACTCGCTTTTTATGCCTCCAATGGATTCCTTGTGAAATTTAGTCGAGTTAGGCTTTTTCACTCCATTTGACCTTATAATGAAGGAGATATGTTGGTTTCAATATTTGCAAATAGTGCAGATTTTTAAATACGAATTCAGTGGCAATTTAGTAATTAATCTGAAAAAAAATCTGGCAACCCAATTCTTAGTAAAATGATCATAAATTCCTCATACGATGTCCAAATTCGACGATTCGTTTTGCTATGGCTCTGTAATTACGATACGGATCTAATGCTTCATTTAAAACAGTAATCGAAGATCATTTGCTTAATGTGGTACCATTTATGCTTGAAGAAACGACGTCGAAACATAAGAAAAACGAGTGCAACGCAGTCCAAAACCTATCCGAAACTCCTCCGAGCCCCTCGGGACCCCGTACGAACATACCAAAAAGTCCCATAACATAACACGGACCAACTCGAGGCCTCCAATCATGCATAACAACATTGAAAGGACGAAACGCGCCTCTAATCAAACTTAATGAACTTTCGAACATTTGACTTCCTAAAACTCGCGCCGAAACATATGAAATCAACTCGGAATAAACTCAAATTTTGCACACAAGTCCTAAATCATACAGAGCTACTCGTACCCCAAACTACCGAGCGAAATGCAAATGCTTAAAATGACCGGTCAGGTCGTTACATTCTCCCCCACTTAAATATACGTTCGTCCTCGAACCAAGAGTTGTTCCTAAGCGGTCAAACCGCCGTGTAACCTTACCATGCACATACCTGGGGGTGATACCGTCACCGTATTCCATGTAGTCCCGACAGTACAACATAACTGAAGATCATTACTTCAATATTAGTCCGTAAACAACATAGTCCAATTTTCAACATGTGAAATTTACTACAAGACCCGAACTTCGCATCTACACACTGTATAAGCCTGCACAAGCTATATCAAGTCATAGCCACATCCCAAGATGTAATCACCCAACATACCACAGGACTCACATACTCGTAGTAAAATTTCTGATCACAGTAGCTACTCAAAACAACCCAATACTGGCAATAAACCTCATGTCAAACAAAATCTCGTTCTAAAGCCTTTGTGTAATGCTGATCCGATCAGCAACAATATCCTTTCAAATATACCGCAATGAAATCCGATAGCACCAATTCTAGGTTCGATGAACTCATCTCATCTAACATAACCACTATAGTGACATGCCACATTCATACAACCTAAATACACAACATGTGCAATCCGTGCACCAGTAAGCAACAATCCCAATGTACTCAAATCATAAAAAATGACTCAAACGAGAGGAGTGTCCCGCAAGCTTAACAAGTACTGCCACAACGAAATGCTGAAAATCCATTGCACACTGTAGGACCATCACATGAATCTAACAGAAAGGTTCATACCTTAACATAACTCCGCTGCAGTGACCCCATCCAAATACTAGTCCATGGCATATACCTCAAGCCACCTTGCTTAAAATCAACAACCACGCAAAATTTGACATCAAGCACCCAAAGTGCATTACCATAACCATGGAGAAGCAAATGACACAACGCCACACAAAATCCGAAAGAGCATAACCAATACGTAATCAATCATGCAATACCCAAATATGCATCTCGCTCAAATTCAGCTATAAGGTCCCAATAGAACCGCACCATGTGTGCATA